ACACACACACACACACACACACACAAACACACAAACACACACATACACATTAACACAAAGAAACACAAAGAAACAAACAAATACAAACAAAATAAAGCCAGAAAAATAGATTCTCTATTGAAAGTCCCTCTTTAGACGGAGTTCTCAAATCCGCTTATATACGGATGAGAATCATATGAAATGATTTTGACTTTAAAAAAAATTCCTTCCTCTGGAATCCTTATACACCCTTATGAAATACAGTAAACGTTTTCAGAGCATCCAATTTATGAGCACCATGACCTTCAGAACGTAAGATCCCTCTGTATGGACCAGCATAAATGAACAAATACATGTACGACATAATTATTAATATCATAGCCAGATCTAGACTTAAGAAGGCATTATATTTAGCTAATAGGAACGCAATATTGTAAAAGTAGAATCAAATTACCATTATCTAGCATATTCATTACTTGCTGAGTAGTTTGTTTTCTCGACATAGTCGAGGCTGAGTTGACGACTTCAGGTCCGGTATCAAATTGTGTGAGCAAACGCTGACGTGACGGCGCAAGTCGGTTGACATTGATCTGTCCCCGTACGATTATGCGATTGTGCGGCCGCGTTTTTTCGCGTAATTCTGCAACATTTGCATAATTTTCAATGATCCGCGTTTTTTCACGTTTCCCCCCCTTTTTTTTCACAAAACAATCAATTTACGCCTCGCCATGTGACTAAAGGGACGTAATCACCGTAATAACTTTCATTTAAGTGAAAAGTTGGTATTTCCCTTGTTAGAAGATCTTGGTTATTGGTTGTGATTTTGTTCCTAAAGCATGTTCAATTTTTCAATCCATCAAAAGTCGTTGTTCTCATGTCTGCCGATGTTTCATGTTTGACAGGTGTCCCTGGCTTTAGTAATGTGCCAGCATCAGAGGTCCAGATGTCCTTTTTTTTTTTTTTTGGAAACATTTTTCTTTCCTCTATAGATCTAGATCTAGATCTACAGCTGAAAGTTACAGAGACGATTATTTTTGGTTGTTTTTTTGGGGTTTTTTTGTGACTGATGTGTATTGTTTTC